CACACACACACACACACACACACACACACACACACACACACACACACACAAGTTCAGTTTTAAGGAAAAATCTGTGCACCCAATAAAAACTTTCAAGATTCATTTAAATCCAAACAGCTGTTTCATGAGATTATTTACAATAAGACAAATAAGTAAACGCACACAAACACATTTACATTACATTTCAAGGAATTCAACATTAATGAAATAATAATTGTTACACATCTCATGTCTGCAAAAGGTTTGGTTTTGAAACTTTAGCTCCTAACTTCTATTTGCTGTAGGTGAGGATGAGGGAGTACTGACCATGGGCCACAGACCGGGTCGGTTCTTCAGGATGATCAGTGACTCCTGCTCGTTGCTCTTCTCACATACAGGCTGAGGAGAACAACAACAACCTGAAGTCCGCTTCAGCTGTCAACACAAGCCACCGACAGAACAGCATCGGATGGTTTCATAGAAAACAGACAAACAAACAAACAAACAAACAAACGTTAATTTCATAAAAGAGGAAATAAACTCATTTGAAATTTATGACCACAGATTTAGTTTTTTCTCTCCATATGAGCACTTCTACAAAACTTATCTGAAGTACTTTTAATGCCCAAATAACTATTGTGTCAATATTCTGCAGCAGAAACTAATTTTACTCAAATCTCAACCTAAAAGAGGGGCCTGGATATMAAACTGTGCATGTTTCAGTGTCAATAAAACTTTTTAAAGATAAAGGTTTTTTTTCTGTCAGCTAATTTAAAAAATATTAAATTAAAAGTAGAATAATAAGTATTATTATAACATTATTTTCTATTTTTCCTCAAACACAAAACTACAAATTACCACCAAGTCTATGAATTTGCCAACAGTCCTTACTGCAGACAGTTTCAGAACTAAAAGCAGTGATCTCACTTATGTGCTGACCCACACTCACACACACGTGCACACACACCCACACACACCCACACACAGAAAAGAGGAAGGATGTGTTTAAGGGGAAATGGCTTTTTTCCCCTTGTTTGTTTCAGTCGTTCGTCACTCTTCAAACAAAACAGTCCCAAATTACACAGTTTCAAATGTTTCTCCATTGATCTGAGTAATAATTAACTCTGAGTTTGTGTGAGAATTTACCAGACTACAACACAACATGTTGACCTTAAAGAACCTGTAACTTAAGCCTGATTAAAGGGATTTTCTGGACATTGTGAAGTGAGGTTCTGATGAGATGTTATGAACGTTACACCTAAACCATAGTTTGGTATGTACTTGTAAAAAGGTTCAGAACAAAAAAAAAAAAAGAGTATTTTAAGATTTTGTTTTTTATTTTAAACTGACTTACTCTCCAAGAAGCAGAAAAGGAAAAACAAACCAATTTAATTAGTAGCGAAGGTTTAAGGTTTTGAGTTTCAACAGTTTATTTAATTATTTAATCAACACAACTCAGTCTTTTTCTGTGGATCAGGAAATCTGTGTAAAATTACTAAGTTGTTTTGGACACCTCACAGTAAAATCCCTTGAAGCTTATTAAAAAAAATTAAAAAGTAAAATAACACTGACAGACCTTTGCCCTCTTGATCTGCAGCACAGCCTCCAAAAAGTCTATTTCATCAAACGTCCTCACCATGGGCTCCAGCTCAATCAAACATTCTGGAAAAYGTGACAACACACAGGTCAGCATCACAACACAAAGCACTGTGGTATCACTTTTTCTTCTTCTTTTGCGGTTTATGACCCACAGCTTGTCTGACTCAATGTGTAACCACAGGTTTGCTGTAAAACAACGATCTTATCCAACATCAGGTTGAGCAACAACATTGTTACCTTCTGTTGCTCTGGGTTAATGCTTCAATGGCCGTTCATTACCAAGCCAAAAAAAAGGAAGCTATTTTCAGAATTACACGTTTGAATTGTTTTTCTGTTACTCATCATTAAAACAAACCTAGTTCCATAAATATGAGTATCTGTTAGCATTTATTTCTTTGTTATTACTGCACTGTTATWTTTAACAACTGGTAGAAAGATACTCATGACCACTCAGCACATAGATTTGGGATGATAAGTAGTGTTGCATTTCTAAATTAAACGTTCTTCATAAAAACAAAATGAAACCAAAATGTCATTCTTAAATATTGATTTGGAGAAACAAAAAGTATTACAAATTAAAGGTCTAGCCATCCTCCAAATCAAATGATTACTTTCCGCAAAAGTTTTATTAAAGTCACTTCAGTGGTTTATGAAATATTTTGCTAACAAAGATATGATCGCACCTTCGCAGACAAAAGCAAAAGCTACTGCCTCTCTTCTGCCGGCAGTATATGCTCCAATAATTCAAAGATGATTTAGATTAAGGCCACTGCAGGACATCAGCATCACAGTTCACAACATTAACAATTTATTTTAAAAGGGACAATATTATGTGTTTCTCAGGCATATATTTAAATTCTATACCATAATAAAATAACTATGTAACTTTTAGTTGTTATTGAAACGTTGTTTATAGGTTGAAATAGAAAATAAACTCGACTCCTCATCATATCGGTTTCTAAACACCTTGAAATTGGTCTCTGTCTCTTCAAGAACCTCCTTCTGCTTCTGTCCTGCCCATTTCAGCACAGGATGATCACACACCTGATTTTGATCGCTGGGTGATTAACAGGCTTCTGCCCAATTTGAAGAGTTAATTCAATCACTGAATCAGGTGTGTTGGAGCTGGAAAACCTCTAAAACATGCAGGATAGCGGCCCTCGAGGACAGGAGTTTGACACCCCTGGTTTAGATCATTGTTATTTATAAATTATATATTTTTCTGGTATAAATCTGCTGTTTTACATGATTGTTGAATGAAATTAACATAATTATTAATTTGTTGTAAAAACATGACAGATAATCTTTGAAATAGATCCAGTTCAGCTGCTGTTTATCTATTAGTTTCTATAGAGGCTGTGAGCTGTTGCCCTTTTAAGATGCCATTTTTGCTCCTCCATGCTGTCACAGAKGCTACCAGTGKAYGGTATGGGCGGGACTCAGTCTAGTGATATTTAAGTCTATGGGGTGGGCTGAGAAGGACACACCAGACCCATGCCTAAAATCAGGAAAAGGAGGATGTATTTCTGTGAAATTGGATGCAGTCCCTGAATCTGAACACAGCCATGGCATATTTCTGTGACTAATGAGTGGCGAATATTTTCAAGAACTGAAACCAGTTGTTAAACATTTTTCTGAAATAATAAAGATCTAAACAGTAACGCTAACAGCTGAAACGGTTGAGAGAAGCAGGACTTTACCTCTGACTTGTATAGAGCAGACCTGGTGTATAAGAACTGCATGATTAACCTTCTGACCTGAAACAAACTGGTGTAGTTGTCTGAACTCACTCAGGAAAGAAGGTCGCTCGTCGGGATTAGAGGTCCAGCCGCAGGTCATCAGGCTGATGAGAGTCTCTCTGCTGGGGATGTCAGCTGACAAGTTTTCCAGGCTGGTGTCGGGACGGTTCCCACGCAGCACACTGAACATAATCTTCATGGGATTGGTCACCTCTGAACAAGCACAATAAGAAACTCAGATTACCTGAACGAGGGAGTTACAGATCCATCACTAGACAGGTTTGAGATTAAGAGGTTACCTTCAAACGGTATCTTCCTGGACAGCACTTCCCACATAATGATGGCGTAACTGCAGAAGAACAAAAAAATCAGGGAAGTTAGGGTGACATCACTGCTTTCAGACGGGATTCCCCTTTCAGTGAGGGGATTTTATAACAACTGACTGAGGGAGAGAGAAGCCTTTTAGGGAAGTGGGGTCACTAACGGACCAGCTGCACTGACCCAACTCGTTTTGGCCAACAGCAGAAAACACACAGCCACAGGGGAAAGTGGATGCCATTTATTTTTAGTTTACAACCATCACCACTTCCTGTTAAAGATTTTCTGACATCATTAGAAACTAATTTTTCTGGATCAGTCAACAGAACTTTAGCCTTTAGAACATCTCGCTGCTCTGATCTGTTCTGGTATGCCAACCATCTGAACTCTGACTCACCGTCACGGGCAGGAGAAACTCCTTTCACCGAACACACAGATATTATCTGAGTTTAAAACAAGAACATCCAGAGTTTGGACAAGTTTTACTGTCTTTTTAGAAAACTACTGACAATTTCAAATTTATTAAATCAAACACTTTTCGATGCAGGCACAATTCATGATGCATAAAAAAAATACACMGTTTTAAAAAGTGTGGGGTTTAAGTATCTGGACAAAAGAAAAATTGCTCTTTATCAGGGTTTAAAATTATTTTAAGCTAACTTTAGGTGAATAGAAAACAGTCTATCATGTACTGTTTATTAAACAACAATAAGCCAAAATGTTCTAGCTGTGTGGGAAAAATTAAGTACAGTAGACATCTGAAGTTCACAAATGTAGGGGTGCAACAATACAGAAAATTCATGTTTCAGTTTGAAACTTTAGTCTCATGGTTCAATATTTTTTGATACAAAAAAGAGAAATGTCCATGTCCTTCTTAACTTGTAATTTATCTAAATTAATTATTAACATTTGTTTAGCCTCAAAAGTACAGTTTTTAAATGAAATGTTGCTGAAACAGCAAGTTTCTCAGTGGATCTGCGCTCAACAATGCAGCCTAGGTGAAGCAGTCGAACACAGATCCACTGATCCTTCAACACAGAGCATCTTCAGAAGACAAGTTGATAAGATACATTTTAAAAATTTGTATTCTTCCATACATAGTGTGTACTGAATGGTTCCATACAGTTACATGGATTGTTGTAGCCCTACATGAGGTTTCTTCTCAGAGCACCCTCTAACTTTGAACTCACRGAGGAGGAAAAGTGCTTCCAGCTGAGAAGCACCATGTTACAGGATCACGTAATAATCCAGGCAGCGTTGGGAGCAGAATGTGCTGACGACAACGATGATGAATAAGATGTGTGTGTACRATAAAGATACTGTATGTAAATTGCAACAAAAATAAGAAAGTTTAAAAAACTGCGTAGGATTCAGTATGTATGTTTCAGTGAAAATGTGGGAGTTTCCACAAACAATTTTTAGTCAGTTTCTAAAGAAAAATCGAAATGAGTGAGAGCATGARCTCTGAACCTCGACTTCATAGGAGTTTACTTTACACCATATGATCCAACAACCAGGAATGATCTTAACAGCAATAACTCAGTAATGATGATCTGCAGGACTTTATCTGTCTCCCACACGACTGTGGAGGAATTCTGAACCTTGTTTCAATTCACCCAGACCTCTTAAAGTCCCACACAGCAATTCAATCAACTTTTAACTTTTTTAATTTTTATTATGACCCCCGCACGTGAAACATAAGCGGGAGTCGTATTGTTTTTGTACGGTTTATTTTTATATATTATATACTGTCTATACACTCACCGGCCACTTTATTAGGTACACCACGCTAGTAACGGGTTGGACCCCCTTTTGCCTTCAGAACTGCCTCAATTCTTCGTGGCATAGATCTATTGGATTGAGATCTAGTGACTGTGGAGGCCATTTGAGTAC